CGGGGGGGCCCCCGGGGGGGCCCCCGGGGGGGCCCCCGGGGGGCCCCCCGAAGAGGTGAAGGGGGCCCCTCTGTCTGCGTATTTGAGTTATGCTGCAGCAGCTTTGCTGCAGGAGAAAAGAAGGTGCGACTTTGCGCTGCATGCGGCGTCGGGGGGCCCCCTGATAGAAGCGGTTTTGGGGGCCCTCGTGAGGGCCCCCAAAAGGGTACTGAGCAGCGTGGGGGCCCTTGAGGTGTATCTACACTCGGGAGACAAAACTCATTTAAAACTCCTTTTCCAACTTTTCGGAGTTGCAGAAGAATTGCTGCTGCTGAAGAAGAACGTTCTTGCTGCAGTTCGCCGCCAGGGGGAGGCGCTGCTGGCCTCCCTCAAGCCCAGCAGCAGCAGCAGCAGCAGCAGCAGCAGCAGCAGCAGCTGCAGCAGCAGCAGCAGCAGCAAGGACTTCATTCCCAAGCTGCTGCAGATGAAGCAAACCCACGAGGCTGTCTTTGCGGAGGCCTTTGCAGCAAACCAGGAGTTTGCGTTGGGCCTCAAAGTAATTTATTAATTTTAATTTAATTTTAATTTAATTTTAATTTAATTTTTAATTAATTTTATTTTATTTAATTTAAATTAAATAAATTAAAATTCCTTTTTTCGAAATAAAGACCACCCCAGAGGCGCTGAAAACCCCGGGGGTTTTCTACTTTTCTTACGAGGCCTTTGTGCATCTTCACTAATTTGCCTATCTGCTGCTGCTGTTGCTGCTGCTGCTGCTGCTGCTGTTGCTGCTGCTGCTGCTGCTGCTGCTGTTGCTGCTGCTGCTGCTGCTGCTGCTGCGCAGGAGGCCTGGGGTGCGTTTTTGCTCGCAGATGCGCCGACAGTGAATGCCGTGGCGCGTCTCCTCTGTAAGTTCACTTACCCAGGGTTTAGGGTTTAGGGTTTAGGGGGTTTAGGGTTGAGGGTTTAGGGTTTGGGGGTTAGGGCTTAGGGTTTAGGGTTTGGGGCTTAGGGTTTAGGGCTTAGGGTTTAGCGTTTGGGATTTGAGGTTTGGGGATCAGGGTTTAGGGCCTAGGGGGCGGAGAATCTACGGTTAGGGATTCAGCATTTGCGCTCAAGGGTTTAGGGTTTAGGGTTTAGGGTTTAGGGTTTAGCATTGTTATGACTTCCTGCAGCACTTCACGTTGATGGCATCATAAGAAGCTGCTCGAGGGGCCCCCAACGGGGCCCCCTGGGGCCCCTTAGGGGCCCCCCTGGGGGCCCCCAGGGGGGCCCCCCTGGGGGGCCCCTTTGGGGGCCCCTCGAGGGGCCCCTTGGGGACCCCGAGGGGCCCCTGAGAGAAGCTGAAAAGGACTTGGAAAAAGTAATAGGACTATTTGCTCTTATTGCTGGAAAAGATGCTTTTGAGGTGATTTGTGTAAACCCTAAACCCTAAACCCTAAAGCCTAAACCCTAAACCCTAAACCCTAGCGTGAACCCGAGTGCTAGGCGCTGGTTTCAAACCCCAGCTGTAAACCCTCGTCGTAAACCCTAATTGGCCACAAACCCTCACTGCAGAGACTAAACCCTAATTGTGAAAGGGGCGCTCCACTCGAAGCACAAAACCCTTGCAGACGCAAACCCTAAACCCTAAACCCTAGTCCGAAAGCGCTAGCCCTTGCCTTAAACCCTAAGCCCTAGCTGCAAACGCTTTCTCTAAACCCTAGCGCTAAACCCTAGCTCTAAACCCTAGCTCTAAACCCTAGCTTTAAACTCCAGCTCTAAACCCTCGTCCGCAACCCGGCCTCCTTAAACCCTCATGCGGTAGCCGGGGATGTGAAACCCTAAACCCTAAACCCTAGCCCTGAACCCTAAACCCTAGCCCTGAACCCTAAACCCTCGTTGCTGCTGCTGCTGCTGCGTGGCCTTGAGGTGTATCTGCACCTGAAGGCTGCCTTTGTTTGCGTTTGTTTGAGGTGTCCGTACACCTCACTTTCTGCTGCTGCTGCTGCTGCTGCTGCTGCTGCTGCTGCTGCTTATGAGGTGTACGTACACCCGATTTGCTGCTGCATGCGCTGCAGCAATTTTACCGAATTGACCTTTCGAGGCGTTTGCTGCTGATGGGGCTTTCCAACGAAACCCTCGAGAAAACCTTCATGCAGAGGCTGCGAGACGGTAAACCCCAAACCCTAAACCCTAAACCCTAAACCCTAAACCCTAGCAGCGCGCTCCTCGAATCTCGAGCTCCCCGTCCCCGCGTACGCGAAACTGTCCCCAAGTTAGGGTTTTCCGTTTAGGGTTTGGGCTTTAGAGTTGCGCTCTGGGGTTTAGAGTTTGAGGTTTAGGTTGGGGTTTAGGGTTTAGGGTTTAGGGTTTAGGGTTTAGATCGCATGCAGCCGTGCATGCGCTGTTGTTTGAGGTGTATGTACACCTCAGAATGCGGGCCCCAATACACCAGCAAAATAGAGGCGATGTTAAATGATATAAAACTTTCCGAAAGTCTCATGCAAAAGATGAAAGAAGTGAGTCCCAAACCCTAAACCCTAAACCCTAAACCCTAAACCCTAAGCCCTAGGCAGCAGGCGCAAGCGTTCGGGCCTCTTCTGCGTGCTCAGACCTACGCCCAGCACGAGCTCTGAACCCTAAACCCTAAACGCTAAACCCTAAACCCTAAACCCTAAACCCTAAACCCTGTTTGAGATAGGCAGCACCTCTGGCTCCATTTCTGCTTTTTTCATTTCCTCTACCTCAGCCACTCTGAACTCCAAACCCTGGCTCGAAACCCTAAACCCTAAACCCTAAACCCTAGAGTCTCCTTTGCCCTTTACTGCTGCGCTTCGTGCCTTTGGGGGTTGTCTGGGCACCGGTTGCCTGCGTAATTGGGGTTTGAAGTCTAGGGTTTAGGGTTTAGGGTTTAGGGTTTAGGGTTTAGGGTTTAGGGTTTAGGGTTTAGGGTTTTGCGTGGGTGCTCAGGACCCAACTTGTTCTTCAGTGTTGATTCAAACTGGCTGTTCTCTTTCTGTCCGTTTGTGTTCAACTGGAATGTGGCCTCCCTTCCCGGGTGTATCGACAGCTCCGGGTGTATCCGCACCTTCAGGTGTATCCGCAACTTCAGGTGTATCCGCACCTTCGGGTGTATCTGCAGCTTCGGGTGTATCCGCAGCTTCAGGTGTATCCGCACCTTCGGGTGTATCTGCAGCTCCGGGTGTATCTGCAGCTTCGGGTGTATCTGCAGCTTCGGGTGTATGTACACCTCCGGGTGTATCGGCAGCTTCGGGTGTATCGGCAGCTTCGGGTGTACAGGCAGTTTCGGGTGTACAGGCAGTTTCGGGTGTACCTGCAGCTCTGGATCCGTTTGGAAGTTTGCGGAATTTATTTGAAAATTATTTTAAAAGAAATTCAACTGGAAAGAAAATCAAATGGGTTCCGGAAATGGGTTGCTGCGAGCTGCGGGCGCGGCTGGGAGCAGCAGCAGCAGCAGCAGCAGCAGCAGCAGCAGCAGCAGCAGCAGGGGTGCGGATTCTGCGTTGAGTTTTAATTTTCAGCTTTTTAAATTAATTTTAATTCTTTATTTTTTATTTTAACTTTTATTTAACTTTTATTTAATTATTTAAGTCCTTTAGACTCACCAAAGAACCGCTTCTTGCTCTCGCCCGCTGCGCAAGCGCCGCGCCTCCAAAAACCCTAAACCCTAAACCCTAAACCCTAAACCCTAAACCCTAGAGCGCGGCATATCGTTTTGCCTCCTTTGTGTTATTTGTGTCCCATATGATTTATTTTGTTTCTTTTTATCTTTATTTCTTTTATTTAATTTCGTTTCTTTTATTTCTAATTCTTCGTTTTCTCATTCCCTTATTTGTTTACTTATATATATATATATATTATTTATCATTTATCATTTACTTATATATATATAGTATTATTTATCATTTATTATTTGTTATTTATATATTTATTTATTTATTTGTCTATTTTTATTATTAATTTATTTATTTATTTATTTGTTTGTTTCTTTTTATTTATTATTTATTTATTTATTTATTTATTATTTGCTTTTTTTCTGTCTCGTTCCTCTTGCTGCTCTCTTTCTCATTTTCTTTTTAATTTGATTTAAAAGCAATTTAGTTTTTGCTTTTTAAATAATTGCTCATTTTTCATTCATTTATTAAATACTTTGTTTATCCATTTGCTGCTGTCGCTGCTGCTGCCGCTGCTGCTGCTGCTGCTGCCGCTGCTGCTGCTGCTGCTGCTGCTGCTGCTGCTGCTGCTGCTGCAGGGGCCCCACAGTATGAACGTGGACGGAGACATTTCTTTATCTTTTTCTCCTTTTTATCATTTGGTGGTTTCTGAATTACAAGCGATTTGTCTTCTTCAATTTAACTCCAAAGAAACCCTCACTTTGCCTGAACTCGCGCAACAGTCGGGCTTCCGTGAGCTAGGGTTTAGGGTTTAGGGTTTAGGGTTTAGGGTTTAGGGTTTAGGGTGCGTTGTTGCACTTGCTTGCTGGCGTCTCTTTCGCTGATTTATTCCCCTTTGATTTTAATTTAATTCTAATTTTAATTTTAATTTAACTTTAATTTAATTTAATTTTAATTTAATTTTAATTTAATTTTATTTGCTGTCTTCTTTTGTTTCTTGTGCTGCAGCTGAAGCAGAACTGGCCAGAGAAGTGGGGGCCCTTTGCCTTCCTGCTGCAGAGATATTAATTAAGGAGACTGTCAACGTGAGGGTTTAGGGTTTAGGGCCTAGGGTTTAGGGTTTAGGGTTTAGGGTTTAGGGTTTAGGGTTTAGGGTTTAGGGGCAAGAGTGGCTGTTGTCTCTCTTGCTTTTGCAAAGTGCAGTGGACTTTTAAAAAATTAAGCAATTAAAAAAGAAGATGAAACCAATGAAATAATGAAATAAGTTAAATAAATAAAATTAAACAAACAAAGTTTATTGAATAAAAAAAGAATTAAAATTAATCAAAAAGATTAATTTGAAATAATTGAAATTCATTTTTTACTTTCAGGGAGTTGACACTTTCCGAGTTAACCTCCATTTCAGTTCGCCCCACAAGCGCATCCAAATACCTCAAGCGGCCTTCCAAACCTCCTTCGTAAACCCTAAACCCTAAACCCTAAACCCTAAACCTTAAACCCTAAACCCTCAGCTTCAGTCTGCAGAGCACAAGCGCGCTTCTAGTTTCCGCGTCATCAACAGCGGCTTTCTCGTTTGCTGCAGCTCCCGGGTCGCAAGTTCAGGGGCAGTGGTCAGCTTAGGGTTTAGGGTTTAGGGTTTAGGGTTTAGGGTTTAGGGTTTAGGGTTTAGGGTTTGCGGTTTAGGGTTTAGGGTTTAGGGTTTAGGGTTTAGGGTTTAGGGTTTAGGGTTTAGGGTTTAGGGTTTTGTTTTAGGGTTTAGGGTTTAGGGTTTAGGGTTTAGGGTTTAGGGTTTAGGGTTTAGGGTTTAGGGTTTAGGGCAGTGGTCAGCTTAGGGTTTAGGGTTTAGGGTTTAGGGTTTAGGGTTTAGGGTTTAGGGTTTAGGGTTTGCGGTTTAGGGTTTAGGGTTTAGGGTTTAGGGTTTAGGGTTTAGGGTTTAGGGTTTAGGGTTTAGGGTTTTGTTTTAGGGTTTAGGGTTTAGGGTTTAGGGTTTAGGGTTTAGGGTTTAGGGTTTAGGGTTTAGGGTTTAGGGGTTTAGGGTTTAGGGTTTAGGGTTTAGGGTTTAGGGTTTAGGGTTTAGGGTTTAGGGTTTAGGGTTTGCAGGAGGGCGGGAGCGCGGGGGAGGCCGCCGGCGAGGGCGACCTGAGCCACCAGCTGGACGCGGGGATTGTGAGGCTTTTGAAAAGACAGTCTTTTATTAAACATCAAGAACTTTTAATTCTTTTGACAAAAACTTTAAATAAACCTTTTGACTCTTCTCTTTTGAAAAAAAGAATCGAAAGCCTCATCGACAGAGACTACATCGCCAGAGACCCTCACGACAGCCAGGCCTACCGCTACGTCGCTTGACAAACCCTAAACCCTAAACCCTAAACCCTCACGGGGGCCCCAGGGGGGCCCCACGGGGGTTTAGGGGGCCTCAGGGGGGCCCCAGGGGGGGTTTAGGGGGCCCCAGGGGGGCCCCAGGGGTGTTTTAGGAGGCCCCAGGGGGGCCCCAGGGGGGCCCCAGGGGGGCCCCAAAGGGGGTTTAGGGGGCCCCAAGGGGGCCCCCTAAACCCAAAGGGGCCCTAAGGGGGCCCCAGGGAAGCCTTTGGGGAGGTTTTTAGGACCCTTCAGTGGTTTTCGTGGAAACCTTTGAAATACTTGCATGAGGCCTTTTAAAGGGGCCCTCGAGGGGCCCCCCGGGGCCCCCAGAGGTCCTCTGGGGGCCCCTAGAAACCATTGTACCCTTTTCAGTTTCACACTTAGATGCCAAACGCCTAAGTGGGCCTTAGGGGCCCCTGGGGCTCAGAAAGGGTTTTGCCTTTTTGTGCTCAGAAAGGGTTTTGCCTTTTTGTGGAATTTGCATTACAAAATCATTTTATATTTTTCACAAGTTTATTTTCAAAAATTGGAAAAACAAATTTGCATTTTTGTCGAATTGTCGGAAATAGAAGAAAGTAAAAGGAGGAGGAAGTGGAAATAAAAAGAAATAAAAAAGGAAAAAAAGAATATATCGAAATAAAAGAAATAGAAGTGAATTTGAATGGAAATAAAAAAGAAGAAAAAGGGAAGTTGAATGCAAATTAAATGGCAACAAATTAGATATAACAGGGAGATTAAAATGACTTGAAATAAAAAGAAATAAAAATGAAAAAAATTAATTTAAAAAAATTGAAAATGAATTAAAATGGACAGAGCTGGAAATGAAGTTAAAAAAGAAATTTATTGAAAATTCATTTTTTGGATTTTTTGTTTTTTGGAGATGAGAATAAATAAATGAAATACAGATGGATATGAAAATATAAATGGAAATTAAAATTAAAGTGGAAATAAATGTGAATAAAAATGAAGATAAAAACAAATGCAAATAAAAAGAAATGGAAATAAATATATATGTAAATTAATAAATATTTAATATCAATTAATACAACAAGTACTTGAAGAAGGAAATGTACAAGAAGACAAATAAAAGCATTTGCATTATTTATTCAAAACTTTATTTAATTCATTTTATTTAAAAACATTTCTTATAAAAAGAAATTAAAATGGAATTGGAAATATAAATGGGAATTAAAATTAAAGTGGAAATAAATTTGAATAAAAAGTATTTAAAATGATAAAAAGGTTTGTTTGTTCTTCAGCACACTAAACATATAAATATATTTATGCTTTCATGAATAATAATAAAAATGTAATTTCAAAACTTTTAAATGCATTAAAGAAAAAAGAAACTTCTCTAATTGTCCATGAGGCGTATGGACAGCGAACAACCAGGTGTACGTACACTGGAGCTCACTAACGACCTTTTTTTTTCTTTTTCTTTTTTCCGTTTTTTTCCGTTTTCTCCCTTTCTATAAGCAAGCAAAGAAAGAGCCCAAAAGGGCCCCTTAGGGGCCTCCTTGGGGCCCCCTAATGACCCCCCAGGGGCCCCCTAATGCCCCCCAGGGGCCCCTTGGGGCCCCTTGGGGGCCCCCTGGGGCCCCCTAAGGGGCCCCATGGCTGCGTTGAGGGCCCATCAGGGCTTCTACTGTAGCTAGCCACAGCTAGCCACAGCTAGCCACTGTGGCTAGCCATTGTAGCTAGCCACGGCTGGCCTCTGTAGCTAGCCGCAGCTAGCCACAGCTCGCCATAGCTAGCCGTGGCTAGCCAGTGCCAGCCGTAGCTGGTTATAGCTAGCCAAAGCTAGCCACAGCACAGCTAGCCACAGCTAGCCAATGCTAACCCTAGGTGCTTAGCTAGCCACTGCAGCTAATTGTGAAACTACTGGGGGACCCTGGCTAGCTAGGACCTGTAAAGGGCCCCAAATTATTTTTTAATTTTTATTTCAACAAAAAGACCGAAGAAAAGCCGCAAGTGGTGCATTTTGAGGTGTACGTACACCTCAAACCGCGTCTTTCTTCGGCTCTGAAAAAAGCAAAAACTGCTTTTCAGTTAATTCCAAATTAAATAATTTTAGGGGCCCCCAATTAGACATTAAAAAGGGACGCGGGGGCCCCCCTAGGGGCCCCCGGGTTGGGGGCCCCCGTGGGGGCCCCCCGGTTGGTGGGGGCCCCCCTGGGGGCCCCTGGGTCGGGTGGTCCAGTGGACTTTGTGAGGCTGGAGGGGCCCCCAGATGGCTGAAAGTTTGTGAAATTGAATTAAAATGAAATAAAAGTGAAGAAATAAATAAAACAAAAGATTAAAAAGGGAGTTTGAGGGAAGTTTACGTGTAAATACACCCCAGCAGCCACAAGGCGCCACCCCCGTGCAGGGTCACCTAACCCCCGGCGGTGGGTCTTTTCCTGCGGACTTTTCGCCACTTTTTGCATTTTTTTACTTCAAATTTATCAAATTTTATCCAAAAAAGATCCATTTAGAGGCCCTTTTTCGTTTAATTCCCTCCGGGGCCCCCTGCGCAGCAAATATCCACTGACACAGAAACGCCCTGAGCGCCCGCAGCCACTCAGGGGCCCCCAGGCCTCCCAACAGCCAACCACGGCTTAGGGTTTAGGGTTTAGGGTTTAGGGTTTAGGGTTTGCAGCCCTCCAATGGCGCAGCGTCTGCCAACCCACCGACGCCTACGCCCCCCGCACAACAAGGATCCCTTCGAGGGTTTAGGGTTTAGGGTTTAGGGTTTAGGGTTTCAGGGCCCCCTCAAACCCTGGGGGCCCCACACACTGCTGCCCCAAACAACCCTCAGCCTTTAGCTTCGGATGGGGGGCCCCTCTAGCTGCTCCCGTGCCCTTGATGATGGAAGGGAGGAGGGGGGCCCCCTTGGGGGCCCCCCTCTGGGGGCCCCTCTGGGGGCCCCTCTGGGGGCCCCTCTGGGGGCCCCCCTGGGGGCCCCCCTGGAGGCCCTCATAGAGGCCCCTCTGAGGGGCCCCCAGGGGGGCCCCCTGGGGGCCCCATCGCCTATAAAGAGAGACATTGAGGCCCCTTGCGGGTCTCCAAAGTGCAGCAGAGATGTTCAAGATGATACCTCTGTCTTGCCTGTGCCAGAAGCAGCAGCAGCAGCAGCAGCAGCAGCAGCAGCAGCAGCAGCAGCAGGAGCAGCAGCAAGTCCCGCTGCTGCTGCGGCTGCAGGCGGTGCGGCAGAAGCAATGACGGCAGCAGCAGCAGCAGCAGCAGCGCAAGTATCAGATACGCCCTTCGGAGATCCCGAGCAGCAGAAGCCGCCTGCTGCTGCAGCTGCTGCTGCTGCTGCTGCTGCAGGGGGCCCCCAAACGTTTGCTGCTGCTGACGAAGGGGCAGCAGAAAAGGCCGGCAAAGAGGGGCCCTCACGTCACAAACGGAGCAGCGCCACCTCTGACTGCAGCAGCAGCAGCAGCAGCAGTGGGACCAGCAGCAGCAACAGCAGCAGCAGCAGCAGCAGCAGCAGTGGCAGCAGCAGCAGCAGCGGCAGCAGCAGCAGGAGGCACAGGGGGGACACAGCAGCAACAGCAGGCCGCCCGTGGTGTCGGTACACCTGGACCTTCGCGCAGCACTTCAAAGACCCGCAGCTGCTGCTGCTGCACTCTGCTGCTGTTGCTGCTGCTAAGAGGAGGTGGCAGCAGCAGCAGCAGCAGCAGGACCCGGAGGAGCAGCAGGAGCAGCAGCAGCAGCAGCAGCAGCAGCAGATAAGAGTGCCCCTGCGGGTCGTTCGGGACACTGCGGTGTACGTACACCCCAGCGCTGAGGGGCCCCCTGTGGGGCCCCACACCCCTAATGTCTTTTATGCTTTAGATTACCCAGGGGGGCCCCCCGGGGGGCCCCCCGGGGGCCCCCAGGGGCCCCCAAAGGGGCCCCGGGGGCCCCCCGAAGCAGAAGAAGGGGTAGCAGCACTGCAGCAGCCCGTGCTGCTGCTGCATTCTGCTGCTCTTGGCTTCACGGAGGAGACATCTGAGCTCTGTGAGCAGCAGCAAAGGAATAGCAGCAGCAGCAGCAACAGCAGCAGCAGCAGCAGCAGCGTAAACAATTTTAAATAGCATCCTTGGGGCCCCATAGATAGGGAAAGGGGGCCCCCAGGGGGAGGAACCTTGCTGCTGTTGCTGCTGTTGCTGCTGCTGCTGTTGCTGCTGCTGTTGCTGCTGCTGCCGCTGTTGTTCTGAAGCTGCTGCTGCCACCTTGCTGCTGCTGCTGCTGCCGGTGCTGCACGTCTTAACCCTGCTGCTGTGGGCGCTGCTGTTCTCGCTGCTGCTGCTGCTGCTGCTGCTGCTGCTGCTGCTGCTGCTGCGCGTGCTTCAGGTGCAGCAAAACGCGGGGTTCTTGCTGCTGCCTGTGGGGCCCCACAAAGCAGCGCCGTGCGGCTCTGCTGCTGCAGCCCCAGCCAGCTGCCGCTGCTGCTGCTGAGGGGCCCCCGCAAAGGAAATGATGAATGGCCTGTTGCTGTTCTGGACCCTGAGGGGCCCCCCATTCCCAAGGAGCACACTGTGGGGACTTGCTGCTGCTGCTGCTGCTGCTGCTGCTGCTGCTGCTGCTGCTGCTGCTGTTGGTTTGGCGGTGCTGTTGCTGCTGCTGCTGCTGTTGGTTTGGCGGTGCTGTTGCTGCTGCTGCTGTTGATTTGGTGGTGCTGCTGCTGCTGCTGTTGCTGATTTGGTGGTGGTGGTGCTGCTGCTGCTGCTGGTTTGGTGGTGCCGTTGCTGCTGCTGTTGCTGATTTGGTGGTGCTGTTGCTGCTGCTGCTGTTGGCGCTGCTGCTGCTGCTGCTGCTGTTGGCGCTGCTGCTGCTGCTGCTGCTGCTGCTGCTGCTGCTGCTGCTGCTGATGTTGCAGCCAGTGGTGCAGGGCTAACTTCTGCTGCTGCTGCCCAACTGTACTGCTGCTTTTCTTTCTGCCCCCTGCTCTGCTGCTTACGCTGCTGCTTTTGCTGCTGCTGCTGCTGCTGCTGCTGCTGCTGCTGCTGCTGCTGCTGCTGCTGCTGCAGGTGCCCATTGTACTGGAGCATTTAGCAGGAGCTGTGCAGCCCCTGGGGTGTACAGAAGCCTCAGAAGCTCTTGAGCTTCCCCTCCCCATCCCTGACTTCCAAGGGGCCCCTGAAACCCAGGAGGCCCCCATGGGGGCCCCCTTGGGGGCCCCCATGGGGGCCCCCTTGGGGGCCCCCCTTGAGGCCTCCTTGGGGGCCCCCGTTGAGGCCCCCTTGGGGGCCCCCTCAAGGGCCCCCCTGGAGGCCCCTTCAGGGGGCCCTCCGGGGGGTCCTCCGGGGGCCCCCCAAGGCGCCGCCGGGGAGGCCCTTCCGGGGGCCCCCCAGGGGGCCCCCTTGGGGGGCCCCCCAGGGGGCCCCCTGGGGGCCCCCGGGGGCCCCCCCGGTGGCAGCAGCAGCAGAAGTTGGGGCCTCGTTTGTGGGGACTTGTGCAGCGCAGCAGCTTTTGTTTTGGACATTGACATTCCCAGGCTTTTGGGGGCCCCCGGAGTTTCTCTTTTTCGTCCTAATTGCCAATTTTGCTTGGTAGGGCCCACAGTACCCTCAAGATTCCCTAAAACGGGGCCCTGGGGGGCCCCCTGGGGCCCCCAGGGGGCCCCCTGGGGGTCTCCAGGGGGCCCCCTGGGGGCCTCCCTTGGGGGCCTTTTTGGGCCCCCAGGGGCCCTGCAAAAAGGGCCCCCTAGAGGCCCTCTAGAGGCCCCTTGGGAGCCCCCAGGGGGCCTTTAGGGGGCCCTTAGGGGGCCCTCTGGGGGCCCCTAGGGGATCTTAGGGGCCCCCAGGGGGCCCCCAAGGGGCGCTCAGGGGGCCCCCCAGGGGGCCATGAGGGGCCCCTGGGGGCCCCCAAGAAGTGCCCTTAGTGTCTAAGGCAGTTGAAGTTCAGTAGTAGGGTTTGGGGCCCCTTAATCGACAGCATGCACTCTGGTCTCACTGGCTCTGCTGCTGCTGCTGCTGCTGCTGCTGCTGCTGCTGCTGCTGCTGCTGCTGCTGCTGCTGCTGCTGCAGGCGTACCTGAACGGGTGGCCCCACGTTTTTCTTTGCTCCATTCCTGGGGTGGCTTTGCGGCCCGGAGAAATTCTTGTGCATCGCCTGTTTAGCCTGTGGGGCCCGCAGCAGCAGCAGCAGCAGCAGCAGCAGCAGCAGCAAATAGCAGCAGCACGCGCGGCCCTCAGAACCCGACTAGCAGCAGTCCTCGCCTCTCGCTGGCTCCCCGTTCCCCTCAGCAGCAGCAGCAGCAGCAGCAGCAGCAGCAGCAGCAGCAGCAGCAGCAGCAGGGTGGCAGCGGAGGAAGAGACTGAGAGCAGTGGGGGGCCCCCGGGGGGCCCCCTAGATTGCTGCTTCCCAGAGACACGGGGGCCCCCTTTGCTGCTGCCTCAAGACAGGGCCAAAGCGCTGCAGCAAATCTTCAGCCAAAGGGGCCCCCAGAGGTACGACAGATGTGACATTTGCAAAAAAGCCACTTGCAGCAGGTGCGCAGCAGCAGCAGCAGCAGCAGCAGCAGCAGCAGCAGCAGCAGCAGCAGCAGCAGCAGGGACGGCGGCAGGAGCAGCAGCGACAGCAGCAGGAGTAGCAGAAACAGCAGCAGAAGCAGCAGAAACAGCAGCAGCAGCAGGAGCCGCAGGAGCAGCAGCAGACTCTGAACCCGCAGCAGCAGCAACAGGAGCTGCCGCTGCTGCTGCTGCTGCTGCTGCTGCTGCTGCTGCAGAGCAGCAAACCCCTGCTTCCTGCCCCCTGCTGCAGTGCGACAGCTGCCTCTTGGGCTTCCACCGCTGCTGCTTGGGGGCCCCCAAGGGGGCCCCCCTCCCCCCCTCAGCCTCTGAGTGGCTCTGCAGCAAATGTGTCTTCATGGGAGAAACTGCAGCAGCACTTGCGGGGCCCCCGGGGCCCCCGGGGCCCCCGGGGCCCCCGGGGCCCCCGGGGCCCCCCTTGGTACCCTCTGTCTCTTTGCTGCAGCAGCTCAAGGGCCCCCCCTGGGGGGCCCCCCAGGGGCCCCCCATTGGGGGCCCTCTGGGGGCCCCTGGGGGGCCTCCTGGAGAGACCCCCGAAGGGCCCCCAGGGGCCCCCCTTGGGGGGCCCCCTGGGGGGCCCCCTGGGGGGCCCCCCGGGGGGCCCCCCAAGGCGCCCCGGGGCTGGGGCCCTTTGCTGCCGCTGGAAGCAGCAGCAAGTGCTGCAGCAAATGCTCTTTGCCATGTGCTGCCGTGTAGGATGAGAGGCCCCCAAGAAGCAAATGCAGTAGGCAGCTGGCTTGATGCTGCTGCTGCTGCTGCTGCTGCTGCTGCTGCTGCTGCTGCTGCTGCTGCGCTGCTGCTGCTGCTGCTGCTGCTGCTGCTGCTGCTGCTGCTGCTGCTGCTGCTGCTGCTGCTGCTGCTTCTGCTGCTGCTGCAGGTGTTGGATTTGCGTCATGCTGCTGCTGCGGGGGCCCCTCTCTACCCCGAGGGTTTAGTAACTTCTATAACAGTTCCAGAGTTTATGGAGGCCCCTTCTGCAGCAACAGCAGTAGAGGATGAAGAGGAAGCAGCAGCAGCAGCAGATGAAGCAGCAGCAGCAGCCTCGGGGACAAAAGCAGCAGCAGCAGCAACAGAAGCAGCAAAGCCGCCAGCAGTCGCATGCGGCCCGCAAAGCCCGGCAGAAGTGTGCCCAGAGGTTCTGCAGCAGCAGCAAGAGCAGCAGCAGCAACAGCAAGAACAACAGCAGCAGCAGCAGCAACAGCAGCAGCAGCAGCAAGAGCAACAGCTTACACAGCTGCAGCAGCTGCAAGCGACACAGGCGCAAGGCCCCTCTTCTCAAGAGCCCGAGCTCTATTCCCAAGGCCCGCAGCAGCAGCAGCAGCAGGAGCAGCAAGAACAGCAGCAGCAGCAGCAACCACAGCAGCAGCAGCAGCAGCAGCAGCAGCAGCAGCAGCAGCAGCTGAAGAGCCTTGTTGGCGAGGCCTGGGCTTCCTGGAAAGAAGCCCACCAAAAGCACAAAGAGGTGTGGCAGCTGCTGCGCCCCTGCAGCCGCTGCTGCTCAGAGCGCTTTGCTGCTGGGAGGGGGGCCCCCCTGGGGGGCCCCCTGGGGGGCCCCCCGGGGGGCCCCCTGGGGGGCCCCCTGGGGGGCCCCCCGGGGGCCCCTGGAGTGGACCCTATTGAAGCAGCTTTCTTCTGTCGGGTTGTGCTTCTGCACACGGGGGCCCCCGACTGCTGCTGGGAGGCCCCTGCGGAGGCTGAGGGAGCAGCAGCAGCAGCAGCAGCAGCAGCAGCAGAAGGCACGCCGCTGCTGCTGCAGCAGCAGGACGGGCTGGGCTTGGACTGGAAGCCGCAGCAGCAAAAGGGCCCCTCTGCAGTCTTATCGGGGCCCCTCAGCAGCAGAAGCAAACAAGACACTGCAGCAGGGGGGCCCCCCGGAGAAAAGGGGCCCCCCACCTCTTTGCTGCTGCAGCAGCAACAGCAGCAAGTGCTGCTGCAGCAAACTCTTCAGGGGGAGGCCCCCGGGGTGACTTTGGGGGAACTTGCAGAGGCAGTGAGAGCTGCCCTGGGGCTGAGGGGCCCCAGCCATGCGCAGCAGCAGCAGCAGCAGCAGCAGCAGCAGCAGCAGCGGCAGCAGCAGCAGCAGCAGCAGCAAATCGAGCGCACCCAGAGCCTGCTGAGGTGGGCCCTCAAAGCGCTGCAGCAGCTACACCAAGAAGAGGGGGCCCTAGAGGATCTCCTTTTGCTGCTGCAGCAAAAGGAGATCCTGCTGCAGCAGCAGCAGGACAGCCCCTGCTTGCTGCAGGGGCCTCTGCAGCAGGACTCAGAAGCTGCAGCAGCTGATGCGCTTTCAGTGGTGCGTGCTGCTGCTGCTGCTGCTGCTGCTGCTGCTGCTGCTGCTGCTGCTGCTGCTTCAGCAGCTGCTGCTACGATAGCGCTGTTGCTCCTGCAGCTGCTGCAGCTGCTGCAGCAGCTACAGCTGCTGCTGCTGCTGCAGCAGCAACTGCTGCTGCCGCTTTTGATGCCGCAGCTGCTGCTACGATGGTGTTGCTGCTGCTGTTGTCGCTGTTGCTGCTGTCGGGGCCGCCTGTGTTACCGCTGCTGTTGCTGCTGTTGCTGCTGCCGCTGTGGATGCCGCCTCCGCCGCTGCTGCTGCTGTACTTGCTGCTGCTGCTGCTGCTGCTGCTGCTGCTGCTGCAGCTAAGTTGCCCTTTAAGGGGGGCCCTTTCCTTGCGCTGCTGCCTCTATTTATTTATTTATAGGAGACAGGAGCTCAGTTTTCTTCTGCTGCTGGCAGCAGCCTAATGGGGGCCCCCCTAGGGGGGCCCCCCAATGGGGGCCCCCTGCTGCCTGCAGCAGAGGCTGTCTGCGTGGGGCCCCCCGCGGTAGCAGCTGGGGGGCCCCTGGGGCCCCCAGGGGGCCCCCCTGTTGACAGGGGGCCCCCAGGGGCCCCCGGGGCCCCCGACTTGTGCAGCACAAGTTCTTCAATGGCAGCATCTTCAGTATCTTCGGAATCGGATGAAGAGAGCAGCACTGCAGAAGGGGGCCCCCTGTACCCTGTTTTGGGGGCCCCCGGGGCCCCCCGGGGCCCCGGGGGCCCCGGGGGCCCCGGGGGCCCCCGCCGCCCGCTGCTGGGCAGGGGGGCCCCCCGGCCTGAGGAAGACGAGAGGCCCCAACTGAACCCTCGGGGCCCCCCGAGGGCCCCCAAGGCTGCCGAGGGTGCCCCTGCTGAGGGGCCCCTGCCCTCTAAGCGGCGGAGACGCGGGGGGCCCCCTGAGGGGGGGCCCCCTTGGCCTCCTGGGGCCCCCGGGGGCAGCGCAGCAGCAGCAACTTCCTCAAGGGGGGGGCCCCCAAGAGGGGCCCCAGTCCCCCCAGTGGCCCCGAAAGGGACCGAAGTCTTGCTGCTAAGGCAAGAGAAATGCATCCGGGGATTAAAGGGCTTTACTGGCATAACGATGCTTGGTAAGAAACCCTAAACCCTAAACCCTAAACCCTAAACCCTAAACCCTAAACCCTAAACCCTAGGGGGGCGGGGGCAGCTGAGGCGAGCTGCAGCGCCGAAGACTGCTGATTTCGCACGAGCAGTTTCTCGCACCAGCCACCAACACCGCCCTCACCGCTGCTGCTGCTGCTGCTGCTGCTGCTGCTGCTGCTGCTGCTGCTGCTGCTGCTGCTGCTGCTGCTGCTGCTCTGGCTCTGCTGCTGCTGCTGCTGCTGCTGCTGCTGCTGCTGCTGCTGCTGCTGCTGCTGCTGCTGCTGCTGCAGGATTGCATGCGTGCGGCCTCGCCAGGGGACTTCATCAGCAGCGGCAGCTTTGCGGGGGGAAAGCCAGCAGCAGCAGCAGCAGCAGCAGCAAGTTTTCCGAGTGTCTGGTGAGGCGCAGCTAGCTAGCCAGCTAGCTGCAGCTTGTGAGTTCATCCAAAGCCACCAGCAGCAGCAGCAGCAGCAGCAGCAGCAGCAGCAGCAGCAGCAGGGGCAGCTGACCTTCAGCGACGACAGCGGCAGCCCCCAGGGGGCCCCCCAGGCCGGCAAGAAGAAAACCTGGACGCCCAAGTCCAGGCTTTGAAACCCTTTTTGTACCCTTGCATTTCCTGGAGTCGAGTAAAGCGCTGCTTCTGTTTGAGGGTTTTCCAATTAACTCGAATTTCTCCATCTCCGGGGGCCCCCCAGCAGGCCGCCGGGGGGCCCCCCGCTCCCTCGGGGGCCCCCGGGGCCCCCGGGGCCCCCGGGCGCCCCGGGGGCCCCGGAGGGGCCCCCGGGGCCCCTTCCCGGCCAGGGGGCCCCGGGGGGGGCCCCCCGGGGACGGGGGGCCCCCACGAGGAGGGGGGCCCCCCCCACCCCACACAAAGGAAAAGAAGGGGCAAACTTCTTTACAGCAGAACTTTCAGCGTTAAGACTTATGGGGGCCCCCAGGAGGCCCTTAATGCCACTTATGAAGCAGCAAAGGCTGTAGGGTACGAACCCCTCTTTTCCCCAAGACAGGGGGCCCCCAAAAGGGACGCCTTGGGGGCCCCCCCTGCCGGGGGGCCCCCAGAGGGCCCCGCAGGGGGCCCCACAGAGGGCCCCACAGAGGGCCCCACAGGGGGCCCCACAGGGGGCCCCACAGGGGGCCCCACAGGGGGCCCCATGGGAACATCTGCTGCTGCGCAGGGGCCCCCTAAGGCTGAGGTGGGGCCCCCCGAGTCCCACAGTCCTGCTGCAGCAGCAGAGCCAGGAGGGGCCCCCGCAGCAGCGGGGGGGGCCCCCCAGGGTACTCTGGGCTGCAGTGAACCCTCTGGAGCTAATGAAGACCTCAAAGAGGGGCCCCCAGGAGAAGGAGAGGCCCCTAGGGGCCCCCAGGGGCCCCCCAGCAGCCAGCAGGCCCTTGCAGGGGCCTCACAAGCTGCGGAGGGGGGCCCCCCAGGCGACGAGAGGGGCCCCTGGGGCCCCGGGGCCCCCGGGGGGGCCCCCAATGAGAGCACTGTGCCCCAAACCCAGCCAGGGGGCCCCCAACCGCAGCTGCCCTGCAGCAGCAGCAGCAGCAGCAGCAGCAGCAGCGAAGGCCTTTTAAATTGGGAGGCCCCAGCAGCCCTAAATGGTCCATGGGGCCCCTCTGATGACCTGGGGGGCCCCGGGGGGCCCCCAGGGGCCCAAAGGGCCCCCGGGGGGCCCCCCGGGCCACTGGGGGCCCCCGGGGCCCCTCCTGGTGAAGGGGACAGCGAGGCCCTTCAGTTGCCGCCCCTCGAAGGGGCCCCCATGGAGGATGCTGCTGGGAGGCCCCCCAGGGGGGCCCCCCGGGGGGCCCCCAGGGGGGCCCCCAGGGGGCCCCCCATGCCTGCAAAGCAGGACCTGCAGCTGCAGCAGCAAATGGCTGGGGCCCCTGCTGCAGCAGCAGAAGGCTCCAGCAGCCTGGGGGCCCCCGAGCAGGGGCCCCCCAAATGCAGCTTAGAGGGTACTGGCCTCTCAGCTGCGCCAGTTTGTGCTGCTGCAGAAGAAGTTGGGGGGGCCCCCATGGGGGCCCCCATGGGGGCCCCCTTGAGGGCTTTTGCTTCTAAAAGGGCCCCTGGGGGGCCCCCCAGGCTTGAAGACATTGACCCGTGGAGTGTCTCTGCTGCTTCCCCGCAGCAGCAGCAGCAAAACCCTGGCCGGGGGCCCCAGCTGCTGCCGGGGGCCCCCCATGAGGAGGCCCCCTGGGGGGCCCCCTGGGGGGCCCCCCGAGCCTCGGGGGCCCCGGGGGGCCCCCCAGGGGCCCCCACAGCAGCACACTCGCGGCTCTCAGATCTAAAAGAGGCAAAAGAAGACTTACAAGGGTACAGAAAAGGCAGCAAAGACCCCTGGGGGGCCCCCCAGGGGGGCCCCCCTGGAAGGGAGCGAAGGGGGCCCCTGTACCCTCGCAATCCGGCAAGAGAAGGGGCCCCTAAAAAGGGGGGGGCCCCCAGCACAAGACCCTGGGGGCAGCAAGCCCAAGGGGGCCCCACAAGAACATGCAAGGGGGGCCCCCAGGGGGCCCCTAGAGGCCAAGGGGCCCCCCAGGAAGCAGAGCTGGGGGGCCCCCCCGCAAGACTGGGGGGCCCTCACCCGCAAGCCACTAGAAGGCACCCGTACCGTGAGCAGCAGCAGCAGCAGCAGCAGCAGCAGCAGCAGCAGCAGCAGCAGCAGCAGCACAAGGGCAGGCTCCAGGAAGAGGGGCCTCATTTAGGGGAACGGTGGGCCTCAAATGCCTCCAGGGGGGCCCCCCGGAGGGGCCCCCTGCCCGCGGGGGGAAGGAGGCCCTCGCCGTACCCTTGTGTGCGTGGAAGCCCCCGCAGCAGCAGCAGCAGCAGCAGCAGCAGCAGCAGCAGCAGCAGCAGCAGAGCTCAGGGGATCCTCTCATACCGCTCGCCCCGCCGCTCCTGGGCGCAGGACTACAGGCGACGGAGGTACAGCAGCAGCAGCAGCAGCAGCAGCAACGGCAGCAGAAGCAGCAGCAGCAGCATTAGTAGGAAGCGGTGCAGCAGCAGCATAAGCCGCAGACACCGGCGCCGCAGCAGCGAAGGCCAATTCAGAAGGAGACGCAGCAGCAGCCGCAGCAGCAGCAGCGGCAGACTGCGCAGCAGCAGCAGCAGCAGACTGCGCAGCAGCAGCAGGAAGCAGCTGCGGCACTACCGCGCCAGCAGCCACTTCACAAGAGGCCGAAGCAACCGCAGCCGCAGCAGCAGCAGCAGCAGCAGCAGGAACAGAAGCAGCAGCAGCAGCAGCAGAAGGGGGCCGCGCTGCCGCCCATCTCAGGCGAAATACCGGCATAGAAGTCAGCGCTGCAGCAGCAGGAACTCAAGACCCCACAGCAGCAGCAGCAGCAGCAGCAGCAGCAGCAGCAGCAGAGAACGGCCCCGGCGTGCCGCCGCATACTATGGCAGGTGGAGGCGGCAGTGTGGCTACAGCAGCAGCAGACACAGCAGCAAACGCAGCAGCAAACGCAGCAGCAGCAACAGCAGCAGCAGCAGAACACCCGCGGCCTTTCAACAAAGGGCCTCTGGCAGCAGCACAGGGCCCCTGGAAGGGCCACGGCAGCACAAGTACCAGCTGCAGCAGCAGCAGCAGCAGCACCAGCTGCAGCAGCAGCAGCAGCAGCAGCAGCACAGCACACAGCGAGAAAGAAGCATGCGGCGGGAGCAGCACCGCAAGCAGCGCAGCAACAGCAGCAGCAGCAGCAGCAGCAGCAGAAAGAGCAGCAGCAGACACAAGCAGCTACATAGACAGCGTACCCCTTGGGTACTGGGGGCCCCTTCTAAAGAGACAGGGGGCCCCCCTGCTATGGCAGCAGCAGCACAGATGGGTTCGCTGAGTCCCTGCAGCAACAGCAGCAGCAGCAGCAGACGCAGCAGCAGAAGAAGCAGAAGCAGCAGCAGCATGAGCTGCAGCAGCAAACGCAGCAGCAACAGCCACTCGGAGGCTCCCGACCGCAGGGAGATAAGAGCAGCAGTGGATGCTGCAGTAGCAGCAGCAACAGCTGCTGCTGCTGCTGCGCAGCAGCAGCGCAGCAAAGACAGCAGCCCTACCCTTCAGCAGCAGCAGCAGCAGCAGCAGCAGCAGCAGCACACTTCAAGGGCCCCAGAATACGCCGCTTCTTTGCATGCACTGACCCCTTCCTTTTCCCCCCCAACTGCAGCAAGGGGGGCCCCCCCAATGTCCCTTGGGGGCCCCCAGGAGAGCTTGGGGGCCCCCCGGGGGGGGCCCCCAGCAGGGGCCCCCAGGGGGGCCCCTGGGGGGCCCCCTGAGGGGCCCCCCGTCGTGCCTAGCCTTGAAAATATATTTGTTGATGGCCCTCAGAGGCCAAGGAGGCCGCAGCAAATTAGTGTCTCTTTAAAAAGAAACAAAGCTTTGTAGTGGGGCAGTTGAAGCAGCAGCAGCAGCTGCTGCTGCTGCTGCTGCAATTGCTGCTGCTGCTGCTGCAGCAGCAGCAGCAGCAGCAGCAGAGCTGCGCGCAGCTGCTGGGCAGCGAAAAGCTTTCTGCTGCAGCAGAGGTGTTTGGGGGCTTTTGCAGAAACTCAAGAATAATTAAAAAGAGAGACAAAAGAGACAGAGACAGAAGAAACACAGATAAACCGAATCAAAAGGAAACAGCAGCAGCAGCAGCAGCAGCAGCAGCAGCAAGCAGCAGGAAGCACTAGCAGCAGCAGCAGCATGCAGCAGGAAGCACTAGCAGCAACAGCAGAAGCAGCGCAGCCAGTCTCAACCCCTGAGTAGTGCTGGGCAGCAATAGGCAACGCCAAAACCCTAAACCCTAAACCCTAAACCCTAAGCCCTAAACCCTAAACCCTTATCTTACAGGCATTACGCTGTGAGCCAAAAGGCCCCAATTGCCACTTTGCACAACATTAGACCTCTCACAAAATCTAATAAATCTTTTGGGGGCCCCCTGACAGGCTGGGGGGCCCCCAGGAGCCTGGGGGGCCCCCCAGCAACCTTGGGGGCCCCCCAGCAACTTTGGGGGCCCCCCAGTAGCCTTGGGGGCCCCCCTTTTAGGGTTCCTGGGGGCCCCCCTAGCAGCTTTGGGGGCCCCCAAGCCGCTGCAGGGGCCCCCCAGTTGCTGTGAGGGGCCCCCAGGGGGCCCTGGGGGCCCCTGGCAGCAAAAGTAAGTCTAGGGGGGCCCCTGGCAATGCCAGGCAGAATCATGCAGCCCTATCTACATTTATAGTCTTGAATTTAGGGTTTAGGTTTTAGGGTTTAGGGTTTAGACTGTAGCCTGAGTCGCTACATGGGTCTTGTTTTGCTGCTGCTCACAAACCTCTTTTCCACCATTTTCTTTTTTCTACATTATTCAAAACTAAAATAATATTTATTTTATTTTTCTTTATACCAGAGGGGCCCCCTAGCAAGGTTAGGGGCCCCCGGGTAAGATGGGGGGCCCCCCGGCAAGGTGGGGGGCCCCCCTTTGGGTCTTGGGGCCCCTTCGCAGGCCTAGAGGCCCCTGGCAAAATTAGGGGCCCCTCTGAAAGCTAGGGGCCCCCTCTGCAGGGTTGGGGGCCCCTCGCTAGACCTAGGGGCCCCCTAAGGGCCCCCTGGCAGACTAAGGGGCCCCCCTGGGGCCCCTCTCGCAGGCCTAAGGGACCCAATGGCAAGCTTAGGGGGCCCCCAACAAGCTGGGAGGCCCCCGTACAAGCTAAGGGTCCCCTGGGGGCCCCCTAGAGCCCCCAGGGTCCCCTAGGGCCCTCTGGGGGCCCCTGGGGCCCCCTGGGGGCCCCTGGGGCCCCCTGGGGCCCCCGGGGGCCCCCAAGGGCCCAAGGGGCCCCTTATTTTGGGTCACAGGAAAGGCAAGGAAGGCTAAGGGCCTCTGGGCTGAAGTGTCTGTACAGTTGAATAAAATAAAAGGAATTTTATTTGAAAATTAAAAAGTAAAAAAAGAAAAGTTCTCTTTTGTGTATTTTGGATGTTTAATTATATTTATCTCAGTGTGAGCTATTATAATATTTGTTTTAAAGTTTTAATTAAATAAATTAAAAGTTTTAATTAAATAAATGGATAATTTTAAATTAAATAATTTGAAAAGTTTCGGTTAATTAGATTGCATTGAGCTTCTCGAATCTCTCGCTTCTTTGTTTTCTTAAATAAAGCATTTGTGCAAATAGTACTTAGAATTAATTAAATTAAATCAAAATAAAATAAATTAAATTAAATTAATTAAATTAAATTAAATTAAATTAAATTAAATTAAATTAAAAAATGAAATGATTTAAATCACAGAAAAACGCGCGGCGCCCTTTTTGGGCGGAGTGTGCGTTGGGCGTTGGGGTGTACGTACACCTGAGATGCCTGGCGGGTCTTTTTGCGATTTCGATCAAAAATTGAAATTAAAGAATTTAAATAAATAAAACTTTTAAAATTAATTTTATTAATCTTTATTTTGGAAGTTTTGGACTTTTTCTTTTTGAAATGCTTCCAAGTTGCCAACTTGTGGGCGCGAGGTAAATTTGAAACTGCGCCTGAAGCCAACTCCCCTGCTGCTGCTGCTGCTGCTGCTGCTGTTAATGCTGTTGCTGGTGCCGCTGCTGCTGCTGCTGCTGCTGCTGCTGCTGCTGCTACCGCTGCTGCTGCTGCTGCTGCTGCTGCTTTTAAAAAGAAGCACTAGCCAGCTTCTGTGTCTGCGTA